GACATTTACCTACCTCAGAACAAGTGCTGGTTTATTTTCACTTCGAGGAGCGAGCTGAGCTGTAAGTGTTTTTATTCTTGTGCTTTGTTCTAATCGCGATATATAATAACGTTAGTGTCTGTAAACGCAAAAATAGCCTACTGTTTAAATTTGAATCATGTTTCTGTGTGTGTGTGTGTGTGACTAGTTTTGGATAGATTATAAAGTTTTAACTCTAAAATAGACATCAAATAAGCTTTTGTTAGCAGTTTCTGCTCATATGTTAAATATAGTATGTTTTGTCAATAAACTAATCAACTAAGATGTTATAGTGTTTGTTCCAATGCAAGCTATATCAAAATAATGAATCATTAACTTTGAAATATGTATGATAAAATGTATTGGCCTACTAAGACATTTATGGAAAAAGACAATTTTCTTTTCAAGATGTTTCCAACTCTAACTTTGAACCAATTCTGTAGAATGGCCCATATAACCTATTTGAACAGGATTTGTTTCCAGGTATGACTAAAAATGTGCTTTTGGCTTTCATTTATATTTTGATTTTATATATATATATATGTATATGTATGTATTAGTGCTGGGCAACGATAAAAAAAATTTAATCGTGATTAATCGCATGATTTTCTTGCGATTAATCGCATTGTTACGCGCAAAATTGAATAATGAATTCTAAAGTAGTGTGTTGCGCACTTTTGATTTAAATGTACTGCTACAAAAGTGCAATAACATGTGGTTTGCAAAAACTTTAAACAAATAAGGTGCTTTTATACCAGCAGTATTCCCTTTACACAGTATCAATAAAATATTTCTTGTAAATCTCAACTTAAACATTAATGTAATCAAATCAAATATTTAAACAAAGCTATTTGCCACTGCCAGGGCATTACCTTTTATCTAGCTTGTTAAAACGAGTCCAGTTTTCTTTTCTTTTTTTTTTTCTGAACAGGTATCTTGTATCAGGGAGCAGCAGAAACAGTCTATGTAGTCAAAGGGTCATGATCACTACTACAGATATAAGTCGACCAACGTTACTTCTCTGATAGCAGCTTAGGTTTGGTCATGGCATGCCATGGTTTCCCACGTAAGATTACATTAAACAGAGAGTGAGGTGAAGTGGTCGAGCACAGGTGCAGCGACAAGCGGGTGCGTTCCTGTGAAACTGTTGCGGTCATGCTCGCCTCACGCACGCGCCCGCGCGTTGCCGAAGTTGAATTGTCTAACTTTTTGTACACGACGCGCAGCACAAATCATTGGAAGAGAGACTGATCCTCGGCTCGCTGTTTGTGAGTTTCCAGAATCTAAATAGTTATCAGGACATCAGCAGGAGGGAATTCACATGGCAGAGCATCCCCGCTAAACTAAACGCAGGCCTATCAGGTAAAGTTATGTATAATTTTAATTTAAGTTAAAAAGGCTACAGCTGCGTAGCGCACAGAAGCCGTTGCCATGGTTACTATCCATAGAGCGCCTGTCATTCACTCGCGGAGCGCTGTCTCCCTTTCTGTTCACCTGAGAGAACCTGCCAAAGCCCCTCCACTGCTGTTTGGGTGGGTTATTTGCTGGCTGACCAACATCCCACCCCTCCTGTGATCATGGTTTGACTGTAGGCCTATGTGTATTCAGAGCCAGTGAGCAACGGACTTTCAAAATAATAATAATAAAAAAAACTGCGTTAACGCGCAATAAAAAAATTGTCGGCATTAATTAATAAATGCGTTAACGCGATAATAACGCGTTAACTTGCCCAGCACTAGTATGTATGTATATGTGTGTGTGTGTGTGTGTGTGTGTGTATATTGTCCTTGCATTCTTTCTTGTGTGACACACCTGAACGAAAGGCTCATTAATATGCGGGTCTTTGTCTTCTTAACCACCTAATTATTCACAATGGGGTTGGGCCGTTCACGCCCATTCGCATATTGCCTTGGCTAACAAAAAATGTTTTTCACAATTTAAAAGAATCTATTGTGTTATGTGAATGATTAGACAAGATGATTTTCAGATCATTTTGAAGCAAAAACTCTAGGCCACAACTTCCATTAGTCAAAAGTCTTGTGGACACATATTTAGTATGTGTTTTGTGGCTTTATTTCAGAAACTTTAATTTTTAGTTTTTTCAATAACCATGCATAAACAATATTCTCTCAAAAATACAAACATGTACATACATGTTGCTCACATATTACGGTAGCCCTGTTTGTGCTAAATAGAGTGTAATTTCACCTGTGCCATTAATATGTTTATAATCAACTGAAAAAAGAACAAATGTCAGGGCATGTCAAAACATCTCAAGGACCCCAAAAACACCTTGGTCCCCAGAGGGTTAAGCCATTTTGAGCGTGGCATGGTTGTTGGTGCCAGACGGGCCGGTCTGAGTATTTCACAATCTGCTCAGTTACCGGGATTTTCACGCAGAACCATTTCTAGGGTTTACAAAGAATGGTGTGAAAAGGGAAAAACATCCAGTATGCGGCAGTCCTGTGGGCGAAAATGCCTTGTTGATGCTAGAGGTCAGAGGAGAATGGGCCTATCAATATGGGCCAACATTTCTAGTGAATGCTTTCAGCACCTTGTTGAATCAATGCCACGTAGAATTAAGGCAGTTCTGGAGGCGAAAGGGGGTCAAACACAGTATTAGTATGGTGTTCCTAATAATCCTTTAGGTGAGTGTATATTTTTGTATCTTTTCTGTACATCTTTAACGCTCCGCTCAACGGTGCGCGAGGTGTGAGACGCACCGGTCTCGTATCTCTCACGGAGGAGCGGAAGCATAAAGGAGGAGCGACGACTGTGAAGAAACGAGACCGGTGCGTCTCGCAGGTGTCGCTCATTATCAATCACGCCACCGGCCTCGCGCCGCTCTCACGTCCCTCGACCTCGTCCTGCTCGCCACACTGTCGTAGCAATCTTTGTCCAAATTAAACTTTTCTTCTTGTTACTACATTCTCCGCTAAATTAAAATGTCCATGTAACTGTTATATTCATCCAACAAACGCATATTTTTCGCTGGGGTAAACTGCACTGAGCGGTTGAATGCGCTTACTCGATCCGCCATGTTTTTTGTTTTGAAAAGTGTCTTATTTGACCCAGAATGCATTGCAGTGTAGTCCTACTTAAGATAGTCAGAGTCTTAAGTGCTTTGTGCAACGGTCTGATTTAGATGTCTATCTGAAGTCTGACTATCTACTATATCTAAGCCATAGTCAAAGTCTGTCTTTGTGAAACCGGCCCAGACCATTTCTCCATACAGAATCTTTCCAGATCCTTCAGATTCCCACATCCATGTTGGCGCTTCTTCTCTTCAGTTCAGCCCACTCCTTTTCTATAGGGTTCAGGTCAGGGACTGGGATGGCCATTGCAGATGCTTGGTTTTGTGCTCAGTGACCCATTTTTGTTTTGATTTTGATGTTTGTTTTTGGATCACTGTCCTGTTGGAAGATCCAAACATGACCCGTTATAAGATTTGAAGCAGAGGTTGTCAGGTTTAGATTTTTTATCTGTTGGTATTTGATCGAATCCATGATGCCATGTATCTGAACAAGATGTCCAGGACCACAGCATTAAAGATACAGCAGAGTATTTCATTTTACACATGGGGTACTTTTTTATCCCTGTATGAACCAAACCTATATGAAGTGTTTGCTGCCAAAAAGCTATTTTTTTTTTGTTTTATTTTTTATTTTTTACAGCCATCTTTGATCATATTTAACAAGGGGGCAAATAGTTCTGACCAGCACTGTATGTGTATTGTATATTTGCATTTTGATCATCGGTTGTGAGTTTTGTGTCTATAGTTTTGAAAAAGGACATAAAGGTTCTGATATTAGCACAAAAATGATTGTAAAAACACTGTAAATGCTTTCTGAAAATAACGCATGTTTTTTCTTATACATTTAAATACATACAAGAAAGTTTTGATTATTAATGTTTACTGACACAAACTGAAACTTACATTTCCTCATGATGCATTTCCAAAGAAACACACACTCATTTTTTAATGACTTCATTGCAAGGTTTGTCAAGACTAAATAAGACTAACAATTTAAAGTATTACATTGCTACAGACATGTAGATTCATTTGGAATCCAAAGCCATACGTCAAGACGCATGTCATTACCTGTGGCACCGCATAATACTTGATTCTGAAACAGTACTTAAATAAATAAAAATCATTAAGTATTAAAAAAAAGACATTTCCACATGACTGAATCAGTTGAGGTCGCATATTACTGTCGTGTTTACATTATATAATGATACGCTACTTAAATCATCTTTGAGAGCAAGGGGGCCTCACGCAACTTGTGTATTTTGCGTATAAGGAGGACTGGCACTGGATGCATCCAAGCTAAATTTAAGTTGTCATAGTACAGAGTCTGAATACTTGTTATATTTATTTATTTTTCTTTTTAACAAATTTGCTAATTTATCGCACGTCTGGGATTTGCTTTGTTATTTTAAATATAGATTGTGCATTATGAAAAAAAATTATTTAAAGCATTTTAGCAAACACAGTGTTAGCAAAAAAGGGCCTGAGGACTTAAATGCTCAACTTAAAGAATGAATAGATATAGATTAATAAACAAAATACATATTCAATGGTGTTTATCAATATATTAATGAAATAAGGCATTAGATTAAATATTTTATTCAAAGGGGTTAAATAAAAAAGCTGGTTGATTTAAATAAAACTTTCTTTTAGTTGCTGAACACTAAACAGTTAAGAAAGGTAGATTTAAAAAAATATATGTATTTTCTTCTTTCTGCATGCCCATGGCATGCCCACAGACCATTCACAGCTTTTTAGTACTTCTTGAACGTAAAATAGCAGGAGCTGATGAAAATTATCAGCAACTTGTGCATATCAGGGCTGCAGACTTTTATTAGTTCAATAGTCTTTAAGAGATATCCAAGTGTTTTGTTTAAAGTTGACAGAGGCAATACAGCTATACTGCTCTAACTGAGTTTTAACTGCATGAGAGTATTTGTGTGGTTTATAGTCCCTGCGGCCATCTTTAAAGAAGAGTGTGAGTCTACAGCAGTCAAGTGAAGTATTATCGGACAGCAGTCCATCTACAAGGGACAGAAGAACGCTCAGGAGGCAAACGTCACTCTCTCAGAGCATACGCAGGTAAACTTAACTATCACAGATGAATGCGTGGATAAAGAAATAAATGAATAATTTTCCTTATTAATCTCAAGTGGAAATGCAGGTATCTATAGCTGCCGGATCATGGATGGATGGATGGAGATAGCAAGATAGACAGACAGACAGACAGACAGACAGACAGATAGACAGACAGAGACCGATTTCTGGTGACTATCCTTAATAAAAATATTTATACCGAACATTTTATAACACACCTCTCCATTATATGAGGGTTTTTATCTTAGTTTCACTTTAAATAAAATGCTACCATTTTCACTTTTCTACTGTCCAAGTGACCATTTGGAAAGAAAACTTGATGGAAGCCTACTGTTGCTATAGTAAGGAACGAAACTTTAATGCGTAAATACAACCTCAGATGAACAACAACGCATGAAATATTACACAGTATCATAGTTTATTAAACAAAAACTTGGCCAAAATGGAGAAGCCATGTGTGACAAACTAAACACACCCTTGCTGCTTCCATAGGAATTAAGAGGGTAAGTAGCAGTCAGGTGCTACTAATCAAACGCCTTTGATTAATTGATCATCAGCAAGTGTGACCAACTCTATAAAAGCAGAAGTTTTGGCAGTTTGCTGGTCTATTCAGGTGTGATCTTCAGCAATGATCTAAGAGAAGCAATTGCTGCCCATCAATCTAGGAAGGGTTACAAGGCCATTTCTAAACAATTTGAATGTTACTCGGGTAATCACTCTACAGCGAGGAAGATTATTCACAAGTGGAAAACATTCAAGACAGTTGCCAATCTTCCTAGGAGTGGTCGTCCCACAAAATTCACCCCAAGGTCAGACCACGCACTGCTCAGAGAAACAGCAAAAAAAAAAAAAACAAGAACTACACCTCAGACTCTACAGACATCAGTTAACATGTTAAATGTTAAATTTCATGACAGAACAAATAAAAAAAGACTGGACAAGTATGGCATGATTGGAAGGGTTGCCAGGAGAAACCCTGGTAACACTTTATTTTACAGTGTCCTTGTTACATAATGTTACATGTACCTAACATAGTAATAACAGTAAATTATGCATAATTACATGCAACTAACCCTCAACCAAATCCTAATCCTACCCTAACCCTATAGTAAATACATGTAGTTACTTAATATTACTCAGTACTTAAATGCATAATTACACTGTAACAATGACACCTTAAAATAAAGTGTAACCGAAACCCTCTTCTCTATAAAAAAAAACATGGCAGCACAACTTAGGTTTGCAAAGTTGCATCTGAACAAATCACAAGACTTCTGGAACACTGTCCTTTGACCAGTAATGTGATTTTTTTTTTTGTGCAGTTGTTATTGTTCTCCCATCCACTCCTGTCCCACCCACTTTCTAAAACAAAGTTACGCCACTTTTGTGATCATATATCTTATGACGGAATTTTTCACAGATTTTTTTGGACTTTGTTTTTCAGTCCAACATTAAGAGAGTGATTTTCTTTGGAATTCAGTTGTCCCTTTTGACACCAATGTTTATTGCAGTAAACCTGTTTCACCCCAACTATCAGTGAAGATTCAAGATCAACTTGAGTGTAAAGGCACATTGTATTTGAAAAGATGCTTTTTAGATTTTAATTGCATCACATAATCCCAATCGAGCCAATGGTGCTTGGACCGTGATCATTTGTTTTCTTTATTTTATTTCTAAACACAGGGGTACAGCTCAGTGGTTTGGAGTGGGCAGTGGTGGTGAATCCAAGCAGCAGGAATGGCACAGGAAGAGCCTCCGGCACTGCAGTCAGAGATATGGCAAACTGAAGCCCCAGTATTGTGAGCAGAATGAGGCAGCCAGCCTGGACTATGGCCCGGAGTCACCTGTGGCCCCCAGAATGCCAAAGGTATCATGCATGTACACGTTTTTACTGCAATTTAATTTTTGTAGTTAATGTACAACTAATAGAAAAATTATTTTATTTAAATAATAATTAGCATTTCTTCAAATTGTCAATTCATCTGCAATGCTAATAGACAATCTTTTGATACTCTTCTATATGTTAGTAGGGTTGTCAATCAGTTAAAAACTTGTAATCATATTTCATTACATTATATGCTGATTACTGTAATTCTACGCATATATCAATTGACCACGACCACGACCAGAACAGTTTGGGATTTGAGATACATGGTTTAGCAGATTGCGCCACTCAGATGACGTGAATTTCAAAGCAGCAGAGGAGAGGGTTCAGTGTGAGAATGAGTTCACATAAAAGTTCCATGACATGTTATCTAGATTAGCATGTTAAGCTAGCTCAATGCTAATGTAGCTTATGACTTGGTACATCCAATCCTGGCAAAATAGATATCCTCGGATTCGACATGACGCAAGGAATCGATAGATACCAATTTTATTATTTTGTGACAAACTGTTCACAAGTTACAGCCTCTGAACCAACTCTAGGTCGACCTTGTTAATTTTGCGACACCATAACTTTTGAAGAAAGATGAATAAAAAAAATCGGGAACAGTACTTTTATGCGGCTCAGTCCGAAGATCATTTGAGTGCATGTTTGGAGAAAATTGGACAACATTTGAAGGAGGAGTAGCGAAAAAACTGTTTTAAATTCGCTCCAATATGGCGGCCAGTCACATTGTTGAAAAATAACATATGAGATATCGTTGAAATCGGCATAAGCCAAGGAATATATTGACATAAAGAAATCAAATTTCAAGCAATGTTAGCAAAAGTTATAAGCGTTTAAAAAAAAAACAATGATATCTCTGGAACACTAGGTGGCGCTGTGATCAAACTTATCAGGTACCTTCAGGCCATGCTAATGATGATCCATACCAAATTTGGTGAAGAAATTTCAAATAGTTTAAAAGATATTGCAAATTACGACAAAATTCAAAATGGCGGACACGTGGTACATCCCATCATGGCAAAATTGATATCCACAGATTCGGCATGATGCAAGGAATTCATAGATACCACAATTATGATTTTCTGACAAACTGTTCAAAAGTTATTGGCCAAAATAGCAATTTGTCATATCTCATGACCCGTAGGTGGCGCCAGGGGCGTTGCTAGACCCATTTTACTGGGGCACGTGCCCCAGTATAAATCTGCTGTGCCCCAGTAAATCTGAAGTTTGAGTTTAACAATTTATTTTATTTGTCAGTGTATTTAATATAAATTATATTATAGGGTAATATAAATGATCTATTTGCAACGCAGTAATAAACCAATCAATGCTTGTAAAAGCAACGCAGTTTAACCGGAACAGAAGCTGACCCACGCCACAGAAATCCGCGCGCGTCTGTGTTTCCTAGCAACAGCAGCGCGCACACATCTGAGCACACCGAAGTCCGGTGTTGGCACGCGAGGTAGGCTATGAAAACATGACGAAACAAACGTTTCTAAATAATACAAAAACTCTTAAAATTGAGTCAGAGTCAAGTGATTGACCGTTTTGCCAAAATGAAGCATAGGCGGTCGCCTACAGTTCTAATGCTCAACAAATAAATCAACTTAGTTTGGACTTGGCTGGGGAACTTTGTTTTCTTTTAGAATATACATGCTCTTTATTTTATATAGTAGGCCTATATATTAACTCTTTATTGATTTATTGAAATGATGTAATTGTAAATTCTTGAAAAATATAAAGGCTAATTATTCATTGTTAACATTGTGTAATGTAGAAGAATGCAAATGTGCAAGAAAGTTTTCTCTACGTTTTCTATTTTCTAAAGTTTTCTATTTTCATACAGTGTTGCCTTTTATGGCACAAAAAAAAAAAGAAATTCGTGTAACATGATTTTAAAGCTATTGTTATCTAATTTGTTGGCATTCAAACACCTTAAAATGCACATATGTAGGTCCGAGAAATCCAAATTTTCTCGGGGGAGCATGCCCCCGAACCCCCCTAAGTTACTCTACCCAGCATAGTGTTTTTGAAACAAACAAATTTCATTTATCTATCGGTAAGCCCCGCCCTCCTTAGTTACGTTTGCTATCTCAGACAAACAATGGGGGGCCTGTGCCCCAGTAGAGCTTATTGTCTAGCAACGCCCCTGGGTGGCGCTATTCCCAACTTTGGCATGGAACCTCAGAACATGCTTGTGATGAAGTGTACCAATTTTCGTTTCGATTGATCAAACTTTGGCCGAGATACAGCCTTTTAGCCAATTTTGGGTGGACCTTGTTAAGTTTGCGACACCATAACTTTTGAACAAAGATGAATTAAAAAAAATCGGGAACAGTACTTTTATGCGGCTCCGTTCGAAGATCATTTGAGAACATGGTTGGAGAAAATTGGACAAAATTTGAAGGAGGAGTAGCGAAAAAACTGAATACTGTACATTTCAAGATGGCCACTACTGTAATGGGCGGGGTCTTAATGTAAGGTATTGGTTGTGATCAGAATGATGAGAGGAATCAGGTGTACTAAGTTTCATGTCTCTAGATCAGTAATTCTTAAAGTGTGGTCGAAATTCGAAAAGATGACCTAAACTAGGCAAGTGTTTACAAAATCGTCACTTATTTAACCCTTTTGCACGTACTATCACACCGGTGTGATCAGTCTTGGCTGGTCCCTGGAGCGTACGATCACACCGGTGTGATTAGAACGGTCAGTGCATCACGTGATCAACTGCTATATTCAAATGTGCTTTCGCGCGTTGGCTGGCGCTGAGCCAGACGCGGGCGCACTCAGTACTGTCATATATCATAACTATTCAGTGTTTTCAACCACATAATGTTTATTTTAGGTTTCAGACATTTAAATACACATAAGTACTAGCAAAAAAATGATTTTGAGTTTGTAAAATACACACTGATGTCTATGGAAGCGGCAATAATAATCCTTTCCATTATAAAAAGATGACACGTTTTATTCATATCAGATACACATTGTGTAAGTAGCTTTACATTTTACCCTATTCTTCTCCCAGTTCACCGGCCACTTACTTTCATGTATTTCGTGAGAAGTTGAGGAATTGACGCGTTGTAAACTAACATGGCGCCGCTCAGTGCACATACAGCTCAACTAACGCGATCGTTATACAGGTGTTTAAACAACAAAACACATCCACTTGCACATATTTGACAATCGGAATATCAGTGTTTCATGTTATAGCTAAAACATTTGTGAATATTTTGAATAAAAAAGGAAAAATGACATAAAAGCAGATCATCATTCATTCAGCGCTGTGTTGTGGCTGCGCTGTGTCACGTGACAAGCAATGACGCGTCACCATGGAAACATTAAAGCGACACACGAAACTGTGATAACAGTTCTTGCCATTCTGTTTTAATAACGTAAAAATGGATCGATGGCTAAACCAAAGAGGAGTCAAAAGAAAAGATCAAGCGTCCACTGAAAGCAGCAATGTAACAAGCTCTCAATACAAGAAGGCAATAGTCTTGTGGACATTGCATCAGATGGAGGTCTCAAAATGTCATTCAAACAACAGCTCTTAACAGACTTCTGGGCTCAGCTCCTTCCTGAACATCCAAAGCTTGCAGAATCTTCCCTCAAAGTGCTCATGCCCTTCCCAACTACATACAACTGTGAAGTTGGGTTTTCCACACTGGTTGGTTTGAAAACAAAACAGCGCAACAGACTAAACGTGGAGCCTAGTATGAAACTGAAACTCTCCTTTTTGGAGCCAGACATTCAGAAACTGATGTGTGAGAAGCAGCACCACTTGTCTCAATAATATTCACGTTAAGTTTTAGATGGAAATCTCAAAATATAAAATCTACAGATCTATTAGTTTTGTAATGTACTAGTTTTTGTTCCATGTGTAAAATCCATGGTAAAATCCCAGTAATTTCAGTGATATTGGACATTAAGGGGAACATTTTTTTCAGCATTTTATTGTTACCATAGTTACAACCATAGACTTCGTATACCCACCACCTCAGTTTTAAACTAATGGCTCTTTGGAATGACATTAAGTGGGACCTAGGCTGTTACTGTATGTTTAATTTTTTCCACATGTGCAGTTTGTTGTTCATATTAAGCTGCAGCTCATTTCACATTTACTTTTTCAAATGAAATAAAATTCATATAATAATTTCTGATCATATTATTGCATTTGTGTTTGAATATTTCGTTTTTGACTTGAAACAGTTGCATATTAAACTTAAATTTAGCTTATCCTTACAATTTAGTTGTTTTTTGGGGGCGTGTTAGAGTGGGATTTTGTTAGGTGGTCCTCAGAAAAAAATTGGAAGATAAAGTGGTCCTTGGGCTGAAAAAGTTTGAGAAACACTACTCTAGATCAAATGGTTCAAAAGTTATAACCATTTCAATGTTGAATTTTTGAACTGGTGGTGGCGCTATAGAGTTGGTCCTAGAGGGTCAAAAATTTACTATTCATTAGCATCACTACAAGTGTGCCAAATTTCATCATTTTCCTACTTACGGTTCATAGGGCTGCCATAGACTTCTACCGGGAATAATAATAATAAGAAAACTAACAGATACAATAGGTGCCTCAGCCCCTTCGGGGCTTGGCCCCTAATAATAAGAAAACTAACAGATACAATAGGTGCCTCAGCCCCTTCGGGGCTTGGCCCCTAATAAACTTGAAAGTATTACAAGGAAAACAAATAACACAAAATAACTGATGAAGGAGAGGTCTCAAGACCAAGCCCCCACACTGGAAAAGAAGCGCCGTCTTCTTATCAGTCTGTTGATCACAGGTAATCCACAGCACCTGTCACTCAACTCCACCCTGCAAACACGCAACAAGACAGAACAGAACAAAACGCCACCTAGGGGCAGACAAAAAATCCAATTTAAGAAGTAGGAGCTACACGTCACCGGGTCGTAACACAATATTTGTAGTTCACAAATGAAGATAACTTAAGACGTTATTGTAACAAATTATT